TCAACTCGCTGGATGGAAACGGTGCTTTATTCGCAAATGTTTTATTCAAATTTTGCTCATAAGTTTAATTTGTGACTTTGGATGGAAACGTAGCTAATGTCATTGAAAGTGAAAAATGCCGTTTGTAAATGTGCTTGATAATTTACGTATTTGAGGTGTGTGTTGCAGGTGTTGGTTTTAAGGAATCATGGGGTTGTAGCTCTCGGCGAGACCATTGAAGAGGCCTTTCACTATGTTTACAACGCTCAGTTTGCCTGTGAAATACAGGTGAAACTTTCTTAATTCTCTTAGACTTTCACAGTTTATTGGATTTTAGTGATGCTTTTTAAACACTAAAGTACACATGGCTAATAGAAAGTCTGGTGCTGTTTGGGTAATTCTGATGGATGTAGTCCATTGAAACATAACTATACCAAGTTGTGTATATCTTATAGGTCATACTAGACTGACTCACAGGCATTTATTGAAGGGCAAAGAGCAGCCATCATGTTAGTATTGTAGCACTAACTTGTCTGTAGAACATGTTTTTGGTCTGCCCGAGTTTTAATGTGATGAGACAATGATTACAAATGAAGCACAAACTTTGAAGGGCTTATTTTGTAAGACGGACCCAGAAAAACTTTTCCCCTCCAAATTCCATTTATTTTAAATTCCATTTAATTCCATAAATTCCATTTAATTCCAATTCCAAGTTTTTTTGGTTTGTTTTTCCTTGTTTTAAATTTTCTGTTTTACTTGGTTTGTTTTTCTCGGCTCTGTTTTAATGGTTAAATTCAATTTTAGTAATCAAAAAGCATGTCTAATTAATTGAAATCATGAAACTTAAGCAATTTAACAATTAAAACATTCAACAAATTAAATTTTATGAAATATTTATGGGAAAAGTTGAGACGTTTTTATTATTATTATGTTTATTTTTATTTATTTTTCTATTTTTATTTTTGGTCAAATTCCATTTTTTCAGTTTTTTTTTCTGTGTTCTGTATTGATGGTTTAAATCTATTTTTTTATTTTATTTTTTACAATAATAAGTCCCTGTGAAATGTTAAGTTTTGTTTTGTTTTTCAGAAATTCCATCTTGTGTATTATAATTTTTCTGGTAATCAAATGAAGGTGTAAAACATGAACAAATTAATTAAATGTAAATTAAACCACCCCTTTAATTTTAAGGCAAAGTGCTTTGCAATCTGTTGGTTAGGTTTACTGCTAAAATTAAATCATGAAAAATTTGTGTAAATGTTCCTTAAAAAATACCATTTTAATAATTAGTAGTAGTATTACTACTGTATCAGCATATTCTACAGTCTTTTTTCTAAGTTGAATTTTAATAAAATGTTCGTATTTATTTTATAAGTTTGTATGGTTTACTATGTGTCTGTAAGCTGATACGGCAGTAAATTTCAATAAAACCATTACATTTCTGTAAAATATCTGCACATTTCTCTGTAGGTGAATGCACTCTCGTGCGCTGGAGGAGTGGAGAACCTGATCGTCTTGGATCTAGAGAAGTACAGATCTCGGACGCAGGGGGTGGCAGAAGCCGGGGTCAACATGGGCTCTCAGCACAAGTGGAGGCTGGGAGAGCTGGAGTTCGAGTCGCTCATGAGAATGCTGGACAACCTGGTAAGTGCTTGTGTGAGACTCGCTGCCAGTGAGAGACAGATACTGCCAGGGGCGGATTTAGTGAATCGGGGGCCCCAGGCAAAATATAGGA